CTTTAGAAGACTTTTGCAACGAGGGCAGGGTTGGTACAAGAACCCCCTAAAGTCACGGCTTTGCAGACGTGAGCGGGGAGCCTGAGTGTAAACTTGTGAACCCGCCTAACAGCAAACTGACGGAGGCTCGTCAGGGGAGAAACCTGTGTCTGAGTCCCTGTTTTCGGGGGACACTTGAGTCAGAGCTCCTCACTTGAAAGGACGGAGTCCTCCGGGGCCAGCCCAAACAATGCATTCTTCTCTGCCCTGCTCATAAGAAGCATCCTATGCAAATCACAGCTCCCAACGGCACCTTCAGCCCGTCTGGAATCCGTAAGGGTCTGTGAAGAGCTACCGAACCTGGTTTTCTGTTGGCAAAAAAAGCCGCGTTTCGGACCCTTTTGACGTGTCTTAGTTTGCCTTTTCAGAACTTAGTTTGCCTTTGATCAGAGCCGCCCAAAAGTGGCGGATTGATTTGCATGAATATTTAGCCTAAGGTGAGGAATCTCCCGGCTTAGAAGGGAGAGATTTTCACGCTGATCCAGATCCAAAGCGCTATTGCAGGCATGCAGCCTTGGACAGCTTCTGCTCACTCGAGTATCTCCCAGAAGCTCAGAGTTTTGTCTGAATTTGCGGTTGAGTTTGTGTGTTTTTTCTCCCTGCTGGGGGCTGATCTGGAGCTACTGGGGCTTAGCGAAGAAGAATGTTGTTGTAATAACTCCAGTTAATGGGCAAAGCTGCAGTGATTAAACAATAAACTCATCCAGAAGCTCCAAAGAAAACCCCTCGAGTTCAGTTTGAACTAAAATTCATTCAAATTTCCCCTCTTATTATAAAAATAATATTGATATTGATTAATCCTCTAATGATAAATGTGAGTCAGAGTCCGAAATCAGGAAGTGGTCAACGCAGGCCTTTGCCTCTGAAAGTCTGATTTCATCGAAGTTTACCTTCATGATTATAACTAGCCCTAATGTGGCATTCAGGGACAACATGCACAGGAAGTCCTGAGTCTGATCCAAATGACCAACAACCACTGAAGTCTGCTTTCAGTTTGGTCAAAACGACAGAAAACACCATGTCCGTGCTAGATATGGTCCAGTTCAAGCCAATTAGAATCCAATTCATTGTAATAGAGTCGTTATACAATTCATCCTACTTCATTAAACTCAAAACTACTTTGAATTCACACTACTTTCTTCCACACACTGGAATCACCGCCTCCCACTGGGCTGGATGAGAGCATCAAATCAGGAAACCCACTGATTCACCACAGAGCATCAGGACCAGACCCAGAGAAACATCAGCAGTCAGTATCGGGAATTCAAAACAATTTGATGTGAAAACTGTGTCTAATTCAAGAAAAGAGTTTTCTGAGCTGGTCGTGTCAGAGCCAGATAAGATCGAAGCTTCTTTCTCATCAAAACAGGTTTTTTTCACAAAATGTTCCGACTTTTTCTTGTCAACTGAAAAACACAGTGCGTCCCTTATGACCCAGCGTAGTGATTAAAGTCAGAATTTTATCCTCGATACTTGAGTTAAACAGAAAACCCCCAAAATAATTAAGTTCTGAAAAACATAGGACAGAGTTAGCTACGCTGAACTGAAAGTGATCAGCACGGAAACGACAGGAAACACTGAGCTTTGCTCCCCTCTTTGGAAACATTAAGTTCTACGGTGTTGAAAACACCTTCATTTTACAACTATTGACCCTTTTTTAGAATTAAACTTTTTCCCAGACTCCGTCCTGTCTCATTCAGATCTGTGTCGGAACAGGGCTCCTCTTTTTTTCCAGCAGCATCAGCTGATCCCGAGGTGTGCTGCTAATGACTAACCCCGTAACGGCCCGTTAGGGTGAGGTCACCCGGGCGACGGGGACCCTGTGTGTGTGCCTGTGTGTGTGTCTGTGTGTGTGCCTGTGTGTGTGTCTGTGTGTGTGCCTGTGTGTGTGTCTGTGTGTGTGCCTGTGTGTGTGTCTGTGTGTGTGTCGTGCCACTCGGGTCCTCCGGCTGTGGCCCTCCTCCCTTTGAGGGAACCGTCCCGGCCTGTGTTTTTAGCGCCGCTAATAGCCGTGCGCCGGGGGGAACTTTGTCATTTCCCACACGGGAACGCCGCTTTGAAATACCAGGCTTCCTTTGAAGCTCTCACCTGGCCGGGGCTTTGTCTGGGTAACGTCAGCCCAAAGGAGCCGCACACGTCACATCTCTGCTGGTTTTTTGCTTTTTTGCTTTTCCTTCGGGTTTTTTTTTTCAGATTGGGTCATCTAGAGCTGCACCTTATGTTCATATCCCCCCCCTCCCTCTCCTCACAGCCCAGATTTGCCTTTCCGCTCTGATCTCACGGCCATTAAAGCTTTAAAACCCCAAAGTTTTGTATGAGTTACATTCTCTCGGAGCTCCCTGATCTTTTCTTTACCCTCCGCCCGGAGAATAATACCTGGACATCCTTGATCTTTTCACACAGGGACAGCAGACATAGGATTTTCTCGCAATGAGTAAGTGACCCCCTTTGCCAGAGTTAGGGGTTAGGGGATTGAGGATGGGTGAGGGAGGGGGGGGGGTGTCACAGTCAGATAATGACATTCCTGAGACCCGGAGATGGACTCTAGAGCCCAGTTTAAGCCACTCAGGTTGAACTGGAAAGGTCTGTGCATAGACTGGGGGCTGTTTGGTGTGTCGCTTTGTGCCAGATCCTCCAAGAGGCTTGTCATTGATATTATTAAAGCTCAGGAGGGCAATGCCCCCCCCCAAAAAAACCCCCACCGCCCAAAGCAAATGCAACTTTAGCCAGGAAGTTGCTTTGTTGCTTATTCTATAACTCCAAATTTTAATTAGTTGGCATTGAAATCTTACTCTGAGCCTAATTTTCTTAAACAAATGCAAGCAAAATTCAAACTCAGACTCAAGTTTAACAGCTGGAGCGTGTGGCAGCAGAAAATGAGCAAACAGTTCCCACTTTTGGCCTTTACACATTCCCAGATGATGATTCACCTGAATGGAAGTCTAATAAAATTCTGTTGAGGTGTGCTAATTGAAAATAATGGTTTGTACGGTCTATGCCATCATTTTCTTTCTCTTACTGACAACATTTGTAAATCGAAGGCGCACGGCTGAATGCAGAATGGGGGATTAAGAAAACTGTGTTTATTGGATTTTAAACGTGCCATTAAAGCGACAATCTTCCCGTTTGGAGAAAAAAGTTTCAGCAATAATTCTTTCATCACCGTTTAGGCCGGGAACAAAACCCGGCCGAGGACGGATGACGAAACCTTAAGCCGTGAGCTTTAAACCGAACCGGGTCTGATCCCGAACAAGCCCCGCGTTCAGCTGGAGGAGCTCCTCTGCCTCTTGATGGATTGTTTGTTTCAGACCTCACAGCGAGCGAGAGCGAGCGGGCCGCGCATTTGGACGAGCTGCGTGGAACATATTGAGTCACATCACAGCTTTCGGCTCCTCTGAATCCTCTGAATCCTGGAGAATAAACCCCCACTTCGTTCCCAAAGCTTCTGTCATTTTAAAGAAGCTATTTACAGCCCTTTCCTCCCCGAAACCCACCTGATTAGTTCGCTGTGCTTTTCCTCCTCCTGCACCTCGCCTCTTCCCTCCCGCCCCGCATATGTGCATATCACTGGAGTTATTTATGCTCTGTTTTGTTTTCAACACCCCGTCTTGTAGGAGCGAGGCTGCCAGGCATGAAGCAGTCAGTCAGAAAAAACTGCTCTTCCCCTCCAGCCCGGCCCGCCTTGGCTGGAGGATTTATGGCCGAATCGTCGCCCCTGAGTCAGGAGCTGAAAAAGCTCCAGAAGCTCTAACTCTACCTCCCCTCAAATTTGTCTCCTTTCGGACGTCCCCACGATGCTACGGGACGATGCAACCACCTCTCCAATACCTGGCCCCCTTTCTCCCCCAAATCAAAAGCCAGAGCGCATTGTTGAGGTCAGAACATTACACCGCTGTCATGTAAGCTCCTTGAACTGAGCAGCTGCAGGTGATTCTCTTTGTCACCGCCGTCTGGAGTGGGTGTGAAGTCCCTCTCCCCCCGTTAGCGTTAGCGCTTCAGCCCTGTGGCCCGGCTGTTTGGCAGCTGCCTGCTCTCTGTAAGCGAAACCAGAAGATGCTGGCGGGTTTTTTTTTTGGAGCGCGCGGCGGCGGGACCGCGTGCTAGGTTGGAGCATTGTGGCGTGTGCCAAAGCAGCTTTGTCACCCGTCCGCGCAAATATATCCAAAACAGAAGCTTTATGTTACAAAGGGGAGAGCAGCAAAAACCCATGAGGTCAGCTGCGAGAGGCTGAATGTGCAATGAGATAAACCTCGACGTTTTAGTCAACGCTGCCAAAAGCGATCCGGGATCATTTAACAAAGAGTAAAAAAAAAAAAAACCCCGCGGCACCTTCGCAGATTGTCTCCTGACAAATCCGGAGTGGTGGAGGGGGGGAATTGGACAACAAACTGATTAGAGAGAGAAAGAAACGTGGATGGACGGGTTTGAGTGCAGAGCATCACTGCTGTGTTTCGCCCCAAAAAAAACAACTAATTTTTCAAACTTTCTAAGGTCAGACCAAACCAGGGGGGATGCTAAGAGCCGGGTTCTTCGCACCTACACACACGCTTTGTTTTCCAGGAAATAAAACGTGGATTATCTCTTTTTAATAATCCTCCCAGCGAGTGTCGGACTCTGACTCCCCGGAGACGTTTGGTACCTGCTGATGAATGAAAAGAATCTTTTCAACAAGCTCCCAAACTCAAAAACCCATCCTCTCTGCATCACCACATGCTCCAGTATGATAAATGGACCTGAGAGGAGAAGGGGGGAAAAGCACGGCGAGCCTTTTCCGTTGCTCTACTATTTGAGGTTAGGATTCTTTGGACTGGGCCGGAGAACATTTTTCCACGCAGTCAACCCGAAAAGTGCGCATTCTGCCCTCTCAGAAAAACGATCACTTGACCAAAAAAAAAAAAAGACCGTCTTTCACTTTTTTGGCCGAGGGGGCTCTGATGCTGAAAGCGTGGATTTGTACTCACCACCAGATGGGATAGCCTCCAAGCACCCGCGAGCTGGACAACCACACACACACCAAATATCCAATCAGATACAAATCCATGAGGTAAGCCGTGCAGTGTGTGTGATAGTGATCAATACATAGAACCTCCGGAAGGCAGCGAAGAAGAGTTTCCAGGAAGAGAAAGCTTGATTGTTGGATGAAGGGAAAATTAAAATGATATTTAAGAAGAAAAAAAAAAAGATCTCGCTCCTGTTCTCCCCCCTTCTTTGAGTCGGGCCAGGAAAGTGTGTCTGTCTCCCAGTAGTTAAGAGAATAAGTGTCTCTTCCACACATGCACACGCTCCTACCCGTCCTCTCCTTCCCTCCCTCTCTCTGAGGTTCTTCCCTAAGGTAGATATCTTTTTCTCTCTCTCTCTACTTTTTTCTCCCTCAGGATGCCTCATCCACAGGCCCAATATTAAAGCGGGGGGGGAGGCGAGGGGGGGAGGGAAAGGGGGGAGCTCGGTTTTTGGAGATGTCAGCTGGCAAGCCAATCACAGGAGATGGCCTTAGGTTAAGAAAAAAAAAAATTATTATTCGTTCCCATCTGTCAATCACACGCCACCCCCTGGTAATGTGGAAAAGAAAGGAAGGAGTGAGAGGAGGGAGGGAGGTAAATGAGAGGGAGGGGCCCGTGAAATAAGGTACAGTGCAGTTGTTACTCAACTTGTTTAAAGCTGGGAGAGGAAAAATCCCCAAAGAGGCCGGTTAGGGTTAGGGTTAGGGTTAGGGTTAGGGTTAGGGTCCTGACTAATTGTCTGGATATCAGCGCACGCATAACCTCTGACCTCCTCCACATACATACAGTGAATTTTCCAAATTGTTGTCCGCCCACCCCGACGGGGGGGGGGGTGCGTAAAAGGGGCCACAATAAAGCCATAAACCGCCTGCTCCCCCAGGCCCAAAGGCGACGATTTTACATCAGTACCATTGTCATTCCGATGGGCTGTCGGGGGGGCG